GCAATGATGGTGCCAACTTGGGCCAGTGAAGCAACGTCCTCCACAACTAGACTGAAGAACAAAAGGACAGCAACTTGTCTGTTCCCCTCCCCCCATTCCCCAATAAAAATATTTTTAAAAAATAATAAAGGCACTATTCTTTAGCTATGTGGGCTTAACCTCTCTGTACCTCAGTTTCCTTATCTGAAAAGTGGGGATAATAATAGTACCTTCCTCATAGGGTTGTTCTGAGGATGAGTGATTAAGCATATAGCACTTAGAACAGTGCCTGACTCCAAGAAAATGCTGTGTTTGCTATAATAACTGCTATTAGGGGGAAACCTAGTCACAGACCGGAGTTAAACTCTGCTGCTCCTACACTGGCTGTGTGACCTCAGCAAATCAGTAAACCTCTCTGAGCCTCCATTTCCTCAACTATTAGAGATAATAACACCTATCTATTGTTATTAAAGCAAAACAATGCATTCAAAGCACCTAAGTCCCTGTGTGCAGGGAGCATGTCTTACACATCTTCAATTGCTTGGAAGAATTAATCACTTCCCCACCCACCCTTCTCCAGCCCACCACACTCCTTCTGGTGCTAGCAGACAGCATCATCTAGTGGACAGTTCTGGAACTGCATCTAGCCAAGCGCCACTGGCCAAGATGCTGTGCAGTCCTTTAAAATAAGCCTTTAAAATGGAATACAAGATGACTGCAGAAGGATGTAAGAAAAACATCACAAACAATTATCATCAAATACCCTGATTTTTTATCTTAAATTTTTAAAAATATAAACATTATGTAGAAGGACTCGGAACACTGGACAGTGTCTTCTCAGGGAGTATTTACAATTTCAGGAGTTATGTTGAAGTGGCCGTTTTGTGTCAATGACTCTCAGTTAAGGCCAAAGCAATGAAATGAAAACTTAGATCAAAAAGGTGATTCCGCCAGAGTAGCCTGACTTAGTTTGCCAGGTTCTCCATGCAGAGGGGGAGCAAGAGTACTTGGCTCCAAAGCCCATATTCTTCCGCCACCCTCCCCCAGAATGGAGAGGTCTGGAAGTCTTCATAAAAGAGTGAAGAGGGTCTAGAGGTGGCATGACCACATCCAACAGGGGGAAATCAAAGAAGATCTCATGGAAGAGATGGCATTTCAAATGGGCTTTGGAGAATGAAGGTATAGAAAGTGGTGGGTGGCTGGGGGAGGAAAGGCATTCCACTGTGATGGACCACAATGTGTAAAGTGAAATTACAGGACAGGAGAGTTAGGGCCAAATCATAGAAGGCCCCAAATGACAGGCCAAGAAGACTGCACTCGATAAAATCGGGACCCACGGAGTAAATAAGAAGGTAGTCTGACCTAAGGGGGTCAGAGAAAAACCAGAGGTACAGAAACTAGTTAGATGGCTACGGCAATAGTCCAGGCTAGACTTGTGGGAGCTGCACCAGGACAGAGAGGATACAAGAGATACTGACAAAGGCGAGAAGCAGGGGGAGGTTCAGAAATAGATAACAGTGGGTCAAATGGGAGGACCCAGGTGAGAATTCAAGGTGCTGAGTCTTGGGGAGGTAATGGGGAGAAAGGCAGAGCTGTGACCAGAAAGTGGACTTGACCCAGGGGTACTTGATGCCGGTAGGGAGTGGAGACAATCAGCTTGGTCTTCAACAGGGAAAGTATGACTTGCCAGTATCATGGGACCAAAGCTCAGGAGAGGGGCTGGACTGGGGAGAGAAGGCAGGGATAGTCATCTGGGAGTCACTGACCTGTGCAGGTGCAAGCTGAAGACTTGGGAGAGAAACACAAAAAGAATCACGTGGGGAGACACGGGGGCGGAGGGTAGACACCCTCTGGACATGATTAGACTCCCTTTTTCTAAAGCTTCCTGAGAACAGAGGAGGAAGAGGAGACACAGAAGACAGGGAAGGGACCTTAGCGGGAGAGAGCCAGGAGACCTTGGTGAGCATCCGGCAATGTCACAGATCATGGAGAGATCCAGGGGTCAGAATGGCGGGGTGGTAACCATTAGATTTGTGCTGAGGGGTTGTCATGAGTGACCCTGGAAAAAGTGGTTTCAGGGGGCAGAAGTCAAGCCACAAAGATTTAAGAGACAAGAGGCAGAGGGTATGGGGAAGGCTGAGGCTCCCAGGAGGAGGAAGGTGAGGTTAGCAGGACTGGACTAGGGTGAGGCCAGCCCCAAGGGGCCTTGGGGACTAAATTTTAAGGAAGCACTCACTCTCAGGGTCATGCAGGTAGCCCTGATGAAAAGGGGCAGACTCAGCCCCCGGAGCTGTTGAGAGATGGAGGCTCATGGAGAGAGACCCTCTGAGACTAAAGGAAAAGCAATAACCCAGTAAGAGGGCTTAGAGGCTCAGACAGAAGCTGAAACCCACCCACCAAACACATGGAGGCCAGTGGCAGAGCCTAGTTAGTTCCTCAGACCACATGAAGGATGAGTGGGGGGAAAGGGGGGCAGGTGGAAGGCAAGATGCACACCAACAATCTGGGGATAGGAGTTGAGGACACACCACCTGGAACGGCAGGAAACCAGAGAGGGAGGGAGGGAAGAAGAGCTTCCTTGGACCCTCCTGGGGAGACTGAGCTTCCCTTCCCCGCTCCGAGTGTTGGGTGGAGGGGAGTCCCAGCACCCTTGGGATCAGCCTGGGTAAAGCAAGAGGTCCAACTCTACCCTTTCCCCAAGCTGCTCCAATTCAGGGAGACTCGTGTCTCCAGCTCAAGCACCCCACACATGCTTCCTTCCCCCAGAAAATCTGGGCAAGTTTCTCCTTTCCTGGACTCAGTTTCTGCAGTGGGCTAAATGGTGGCACCCAAAAAGGTATGTCCAGGTCCTAACTCCTCTCCCTCCAGGCTTGTGAGTGAGACCATATTTGGAACAAGGCTCTTGGCCAATGTAATTAGATGAAGGTTGTCAAAAATGACATCAAGCTGGATTACCCAGGTGGGCCCTAAATCCAATGACAAGTGTCCTCATAAGAGACAGGAGAGGGGAAGGCCATGTAAAGATGGAGGCAGAGGCTGGAGTGATGCAGCCATAACCCAAGGAATGCCTGGACTCGCTAGCAGCTGGAAAAGGCAAGGAGGGAATTCTCCCTTAGAGCCTTCACAGAAAGCATGGCCCCGCTGACACCTTAATTTCAGACTTTGGCTTCCAGAACTGTGAGGGAATAAATTTCTGCTGTTTGAAGCCACCAAGTTTGTAGCAATGCGTTACAGCAGCCCTAGGAAACATTTTTTAATATAGTTCCCTGTTCTGTAAAATGACTAGAAAGTTCCTAGGGACGTTTCCAGCCCTGAGATTCTCCAAATTAAACCATTCAGCAAGGAGGGGAGTTCTAGGTCTGGCCAAAAGCTATGTTTTTTAACTCACTGCTTTTGCCCTTTCAGGTTGAGGTTTAATACTTTCACTTGAGTGGGGAGGAGGGAAGCCAAATTAACTGCCCACCTCCTACTCCTCAGAGGAGAGTCTGAAAGAGAATTTCATGACCCATCACCCATTCCCCCTTCACCTAAAGCTCACGCCACCCTGCCTAGGCTGGTCAAAAGAGGCAAAGCTGACCGGACCACTTACTAAAAGCAAGCTTTTTAAAAACAGGAGTCGGCCTTTCTGAATTTATCCTTGCAAACATCACCTCCTCTTCACAGCGACTCTCTCCCCACCCCTCACATCTGCCTTCTTTCTCTGCCTTCCCTAGTCTTGGGGGGCAAGATAAGAGGGATACCCCTGACACAGGAATGGAAGGCATTCTCCCGCCCTCCTGCCCACAACACAGCTGGAGGGGGGAGGGGAGGTCAGCAGGGTTCATAAAGGCCAGATGTTGAAAAGAGGGCAGTGCCCACCCCACATCCACCCACCCCATCCCCACTCTCACCCCCAGCGAAAAAAAATGGAAAGAGACAGTTTTTTGAAGTGAACAAAACTTTTGTGGTCCAAAACAGTTTTTCTCAAGAATCTGCTCTATGCAAACAATTACTTTTTACAAAGCATTTTCACAGAAAAGGAGACAAGTCCTTCCCCAGTATCATATGTGGGAATTGTTCCTCCCTCACCCTGTTTTGGGGAGAAAGGAGGCGTTACTTGCTGATGTGGACAGGAGGGTCACTGGGTTCCAATGTTGTTGGGCAGATCCTCAACCTCCAGGTTCCCCTCCCACCTAAACTTGGAATCTCCCTAGGAGCTAACCTTCCTTGACCTCACCTGGGTGGAGAAAGCGGCTCCACCCCTCCCTGACTCTAGGGGATCCTCCCAGCCAGAGGGCGTGGTCCAGGCCTAGCTCTCCCCTACCCCGCCCCCGAGAAAACAGAACCTCTGACCTCAAAACTAATCCCCTGGCCCTGCCCCCTTCGGATCCATCAGGTCCCTGACAACTCCCGAAATGCCTGAGGTGAAGAGGGGAAGCCGAAGGTGCCTCAGCCCAGTTCTCACCCAAACCCAAACCTTGTCCCTTCGAAGCCCATCGGACCTTGTGGTTAGACCAGGAGCCCTATCATTTACCCGCTCCACAAACAGCAGCTTGTCTTGTTCCTACACTTTAAGGGGGCTGAGTTTGGATGTCCAAAGAATGGACCCCGGGCCTGCCCTCTATCTCCACCCCCTCTCATCCATAAATCGGTGGAGAGGACCTCGAAAGGCAACTTGTTTGGTCTGATTTTATTGATTTCTTCCACCTTCCATTACTTTCCCTGGGACAGTCTCTGGCCCCTTCCCCAGGCAAATCCTGCACTTTGGGAGGGGAGAAGGTCCCTCAGCCCTGCCCTCCCTCATATGAGAGGTGAACTGGGGAAGGGTGTTGGTTTATCAAGAGGCGTCCTCTTTTACCTATTAGACCTTATAAACTGAAAGCAAACAGTAAAATTGAAGAAGGAAACTCCAAAACTGGACAAAAGGGAAAGGTTGGTGGCTGAGACTTAGGATCTCGCCAATTAGGGGTTGTCTGACTTGGAGGGCCCTGGGAAAGGAATGATCATCCCCTTGCTCAAGCTGCCTCTTCCCCCATGAGGGCTCCTTGGTGCTAGGAGTGCTGGGGAAGCCCTGAGGGGAGTGAAGGGTTAAAGACATAGATGGTGGGGGTGGGGATGCCCCCAGGGAGCTGCCAATCACCTCCCCACCCCCTCCACAGCCCCCTCACCCCCAGGCTCGCCCACAGAAACAACCGGTTTGTCCATCACCAAGGTCTCTCTCCCTCTTTTTTTTCCTTGTCTTTGAGCGGTAGCCTCCTTTGCTCCCCCTGGGGTGAAGGCCCTGCCCCCAGAGATCCGAGATGGAAGAGGGGAGGGACTGGAATCTCTGTCATTAAGCCTTTTTCCGTTAAGCCTTCTCCAGACTCCAGCCCTTAGTTCGTCTCCAAAGGATGAGGGGGAGGGGGGTGTCACCCCAATCAGTTAGGTGCTTGACGATCACTGTCATTTGAGGTCCCGCGGACCACAGCCCATAAAACATGAAGGGGTGAGGCAAATGTGAGAAACCAGGCTCTATCCTAGAGTCCGCAGTTTGGCTGTGGCCCCAACTTTTCCCTCTTGGCAAAAGAGGTCTCGCACTCAGAATTCTTCCAGGTTGATCCCCCAGAATTTGACGCCGGGGGGCTCAGGGACAGCAGGACCCCCCATCTGCCACCTCCACAGCGGGTGGGCAGGCGGGGGCTTAGAGTCTCCATGGAGGCGAAGCGAAGATGCCGGCCCTAAGTCTCCGTCCTCGCCCACCACAAGGGCCGGGGGGCAGGGGAAGCAGTCGAGGAGGCTGAAGGTGCTGGTGGTGGGCAGCGTCGGCGCAGGGCGGCGGGGCTGCGCGCTGCGGTGGGGGGGCGCGGGGCGCCGGCGTTTCTTGGCGGCTCCCCGGGCGGGCCCTTTTGCTAGCGGCCGCTCCGGCCCCCGGCGTAAACTTGGAGTGTCGAGGGCGAAGCCCTTAGCATAACACCAAAGTTTTGACCTGCGGATCAGACGATCGAAATGTTCCTGGCGGAGATCGCCGGGCGCGGCCGGAGCTCCACTGGCCGTCGAGGGGCTAGTGGCGGGTGCCTCAGGGGCGGCCTGCGAGGGTGTTCCATCGACTGCAGTCGTCTGGCCTGGCAGGGGCGGCTCCGGCGCAGCCTCGGACCCCGCGGGCTCGAAGGAGAGGCCCGCAGGTGGCGGCGGAGGCCGGGAATCGGGCTCCCGAAGCGGGCTGGCGGCGGCGGGGCCAGGCTGGGACTCGAGACCCGGGACTGGCCTAGGCGAAGTCGCGGCGGAGCTGGTCGGAGATTCCCGAGGGCTCCGAGGCGCCGGGCAGCGGCCCGGAGGTCCGCTGGAGCGAGCGCCGAAGTGCGGGAAACAGCCTCCGCCCTCTTCCTCCTCGCCGCGGCCGGGGCACACGGCGGCGTCGGCATCCTGGCCGGCTGGGGAGCTCGGATCGCTGGACCGTCCGGCCTGTCCCGTGAGGTGCTTCAGGCCATCCGGGGCCCAGGCGCCTGTGCACAGGGGGGCGCGAGGGCCCAGCAGCACCGGGGCCCGCGGCGCCGGCTCCCCAGGCCCCAGGCCCAGAGAGGACGCTCGGGGTTTGGCAAGGGCGCAGAAGGCAAGGGCACGCAGGCACAGCGGAGAGAACTCCTGGGTCCCCCGACGCGGCTTCAGGGGCGTGGGTGAGCAGGGCGACCCTCGCGGGGACGCTGGCACTGCGAGGCGGGGAGCCTGGCACAGAGTCTCCATGGAATGGCCTGGGGGGTTGCCCACTGAGGGGGCGCTGGTCCCAGCGGCGGGCTGCCCTGGCTGCCCGAAGAGCCCACGGGCGAGGGGAACATCGCCCCCCCTCGACGGGGAGGTCTCTGCTCACGGACGCCCCCGGCCCGCACCCCTGGGCGGCAAAGCTCTGGATCCCTCCTGGATCTCGTCACGCGGCCCTCTCGGCGGCCGGACTCCTGGGTCCCTGAGAGTCCCCGGCGCGGTCGGCCGCCCTTCCTGCCGCCGCGTTCCCTGTGCAGCCCCGGCGGGAGCCCCTCTCGAGTAGCCCGGAGCGCAGAGGCGGGGGAAACAAAGCGACCGGCGACCGCGGGAGGCGGGAAGGACCCCGCGCCCGGCACCCGGTGCCCGGGCCCAGGCGGCGGGGAGGGCGCCTTCCGCCAGCTCGGCTTCTTTCTTCCCCGCTGGCTCCCGAAGACCGCGTTATAGAGAACTGCCCCCTCGCTGCCCCAATACCAGCGCCGGGGCCGCGAGACCGCCGCTGATTGGGCAACACTGCCTGTGACGTTACCCGGACCCCACCCCTCCGGCGGTACCGCCCCCGTCCCCATTCTGCACACAGACACACACACGTGGACCCGGCGCGGCAGCGGCTGGGAGCCAGCGAAGGAGGGAACGTGCGCGAGTGGGATCGCGAGGGGCGAAATGCGCTGCTGCACGTGGCCCGGTGGCGTTCCGGCATTTAGTCGTCGCAAAGCAATTCATTTTTGTCCCTTAGCAGTCCCTGTTTTCGCATCTGTAAAATGGGAATATTCATATCTACCCTCTGGGGGGGGCTACGTGAAACAACAGATGAATCTCAAAAACAATGTTGAGGGAAAAGATGAAATGAGGCAATGGTGGTTTACAAGCTTTTCACAGCGGGGACTCCTGCGGACAGCGAAATGTTCCCTACCTCTCTGCTCCAGTCCCCTAGAACAGTGTCTAGCACACTGTGGATTCAACAAATTTTGAACCAGTTAGGAAGTGAGTGTATATGCCCGACGAACAAAGGAAAACATAAATTCGGAGACAGGCGTATTATTAAACCACGGAAGACGATAGACTTGCTCAGTACCTGTTTCTGTTTCTCTAATGCAATTTCTAAGTGGCCTTTTGACCAAATTCCGAGGGGCTGACTTCGCAACCGCCCTCCGAATTCCAAGACTCTGCCCCCTGAGTCCTGACCTGCCAAAATGGGTTGAGGAGGCCAGAAGAGGGGACACACAGACCCTCGTTGTTATATCCCCCCAAAGAGTAAAGCAAAGAGAAAGTGAATCCTCAATAATGGAGGAGCACTTCCCCACAACATGGTTTATCCCTTTACCCTTCTTCACTTTTTGTATAGCTTACTGTGATATGAAAGTCTGAAAGTATTTATTCTTTATTGTCTGTCTCTCCCATTAGTCTGATAAGAACTTTGTCTTAATCACTACTGCCCACTGACTAGAACAGTGCCCAGACATAACAGGTGCTACGTAAATATTTGTGACTGAATGAATGAAACCCCAGAATAGTTCTCTCTTGACAATAGTCAGGTTATTGGAATATGGCTGTCTCCCACCCCAAAAAATATAAAGGGAGATTGGTATGATGGCTAGGACTAAGGGCGTGGAAGCAATAAGTGTGGAGGGAGGCTGGAGGGGATGTCAGAGGGAGAAAAATCTCACTCTGGGTCTTGGGTAAGAGAGGGTTTCTATAAAGAGACAGATGATGAAGTTTGCATCCTGGCCCTCCTGGCGGTGACAACAGAAGCATTTTTTCATATATATCATGGAAGGGGAGGAATGAGGAAGGTCTGCCTCCCCACCTCCCTTTGCAGAGGCCAGAAATTAAGGCCTCAAGGTGGGGCAGAGTTTGACAAAGGAAGGTGCACGGTGTTCCATTGCTCAAAACTCTCACTCCTTAGCACCCTCTACAGAAGTCTCCAGGGCAGTTGTCATGAAGGGAGATCCTGGAGTCCCGCAGTTCTAGACTCCAGGCTTCCTAAGTGCCACCCTCCATCCCCCACATGTCCTCCTCCTGATGCGCGTGCGCGCGCACACGAGGAAAGTTCTGGAAGGATGATGATCTTCACAGTTGTCTCTTCTGGGGACAGTGCTGAAAACTCTTATTCTGAGACAGCAGTGCCGGATTTCTTTTGCTTGTGGGGCAGAGGGGCATCTGCTTCAATTCAACTCTACTCTAGCCTCCTTGAAGCTGAGATTCTTGGGGAGGGGGCTTGGGCCCCACCTGCAGGAACCTAGATTGGGAACCTCCTTTTATCCCCTACAGTCTCGTTCATATTTGCATTTCTGTGCCTAGCACAGTGTTGACACAAGGAGAAAACACTCAAGAAATTTTTTTGGTATGAACAAATAAATGAATCTTACATAACAGTGCAGATCAATGGCCTCCTCCTCCCACTCCTAAAGCCACTAGTCCCCCAAATCTGGGTTAAGGGGCTTTACTGGGGGTTGTTACTATTGAGAGTCTTTCCCTGGAGGAGGAATTCCCTCCACCTCCGATTTCCATTCTTCCCCTTCCTGTTATCAGGCACCCCAGTGTAGAGACTGGAGGGAGGCATGGAAGCACTTTGCAAACAGTGGAGGTTGGTGTGAATAAACTCTCCAGTTAAAAGGACTTGGAGCCATTGAGTCTCCATTTTTAGAGGGCTTGGACTAGGGGGTGTCCACTGTAAAACCCTGGGCAGGTCACCTAGAAACTCTGAGCCTCAGTGTTCCTATCAGTGAAGAGGGAACAATAGTTGCTGCCTCACAACACTGTCAGGAGGGTGGAAACATGCACGAAGCGAGCGGGCTGGCCCCGCTGTTGCAATTCCCATTGTCTACAGTAGAGGACACTCGACCCCGTCCTCAGCCCGCAGGATGAGACAGCAACACCCTTCTCAGGAACCCCTTCTCCCCATAGGAGAAAAAGGGACAAGGCTACATACTCGGTCCCATCTGACACTTTTGGAATAAGGAATAGGAAGGGCCCTGAGGGATCTGGAAGCTAGTCTTTCCCTTCCGTGGCCCATCTAGGTCTCACCCAAAGGCCCATGTTCAAGAATTTGGGAGCAAGAGGAGCTGCCCAGTCGCTCTTTCTCTGGAGAAAGCTACAGCAGAGAACTGGCCCCAGAAGTCCAGTGCAATAATAATAACTTCTACAGCACTGACTGCATTCCAGTCTCTGGTCTAAGAACTTTGTTCTTTAATCCCCATAACAATTTTATAAGATAGATATTATATCTTTACAATGTTACATACCACACATAACGCAATTTAAGTGCACAATTCAATAATGTTTGTTAAATTCACAGAGTTTATAGGACCATCACCACAATCCAATTTTAGAACATTTCCTAAGAGACCCCTCATCCCCATTTTCAGTAACTCCCCTTTCCTACCCTCAGCTCCCAGTGACTAATCAATTTACTTTTTGTCTCTCTAGCTCTACATTCTCGGGACTTGTCATAGAAGTGGAATCGGAATCGTACCGTATGTGGTCTTTGGCATCTGACGTCTTTCACAAAAGCATAGTGTTTCTGAGGTTCATCCATGCTGTAGCATCTATTACTAGTCTGTCCCCTTTTATTGCTGAGTAGTATCCCATGGCATGGATATACCACAGTTCGTTTATCCAAAATCATTTGGGATTTTTCCATTTTTTGGTTATTATAAATAATATTGTTATAACATTGGTATACGAGTCTTTGTGTGGACAAATGTTTTCATGTGAAGAGTGAAATTTCCAGGTTATATGGTAAATTTATGTGTAACTTTTGAAGAAACTGCCAAACTGTTTTTTCTAAACCGGCTGTACCATTTTACATTCCTATGAATATCCATGTTATAAATTAGGAAAGTGAGGGACAGAGACTTTAAGTGACTTACCCAAGGTCACTCTGCCAGCAAATGTCAGAGCCTGGTCTCAAACCCAGGCAGTCAGGTCCCAAGTCCACACTCCCAACCATTAGTCTACCCCATGACAATGAATCTAGGAGGGAAGCCATTTCTCCCCGCACCACACCATAGCTGCCAACCATTTTTGCCCATCTTACTTCTAGAATTCCCTAAGTCAGACCCTGTTCCTGCCCAGCAGGGCTGCATCGCCCCCTAGCCACTCCCACATTTTGCACTACCCCTTCTGGAAATTTGCACCCAGGGTTACAGCTTAAGCTGTGGACTCAGATGGGTCTGTTCATATTCTAGACTCGTCATTTTACCAGCTGTGTGATTTGGGGCAAGCTACTTAAACTATGCTTTAGTTTCCTCATCTTTAAAATAGAAATAGCATCTTCCTTCATGCGATTAAAAAATATTTTACTATGGAAATTTTCAAACCTATATAAAAATAAATAGAGGAGTACAATCAACCTTCGTGTACAAGCAAATACAAGAGTATAATGAACCTTCGTGTACCCAACATCCAGCTTCAACTCATCAACTTGTGGCCAATCTTGTTTTATTCTTATCCTCACCCACTTTCTCCCCTATTACCATTTTTTTAAAATCAACTTTACTGAGGTATGATTTACATACAATAAGTGCACATTTTAAGAGTACAGTTTGAATAGTTTTCACAAATGAATACACCCATGTAACCACCACAATTTAGATATAGAGCATAGTGCTCGCTTTGAAAGCACATATACTAAAATTGGAACAATACAGAGATTAGCATGTCCCCTGCGCAAGGATGAGAAAATATTTTTTAATTAAAAAAAAGGTATAGAACATAACCCATATTATCTTGAAACAAATCCCAGACAGCATATAATTTCAATCCTAAATATTTCAATACATATTTTTATAAGATAAGGATGCTTTAAAAGTAAACATAACCCCAATGCTATTATCAAACCTAAAAAGAATTAACAGTCATCCTTTAACATCATCAAATAACCAGTGTTCAAATTTCTAATTGTCTTATAATATTTTTTCTTTATAATTTGTTTCATTTATTTGAATTAAGATCCAAAGAAGGATTTCAAGTTGTTGATATGTCTCTTAACTCTCTTTTAATGTATACAGTCCTTTATCTCTTTTTATTTTCTCCTTGCAACTGATTTACTGAAGATACCAGACTATCATCTAGATTTCCCACAGTCTGGAATTTACCAATTGCATCCCCAGGGTATCATGTAATCATGCAACATTTATTCAACAATATTTATTAAACACCTACTATGTACAGGATTGCCAAATTTAGCCCAGAAATACAGAACATATTTATACTCAAAAACTTATTTATTGTTTTTCTATAATTCAAATTTAACTGGACATCTCATATTTCATCTGGCAACCCTATTTATGAGCCTGTCTAATGTTGGAGCACAACGGTGAGCAAAACAGACAACCCCCACTGCCCAGAAGTTTACACTCTAGTAAACTAGGGAGAAATAGGTAATATACAAGCAGACAGCATTCCTCCTTGAGGATACTATCAAT